TATCTAAAAAAAAAAAAAAAAAAAGAATTTTATTTTATTAAAATATTATAAATTATTATATATATATTCACATACAAAGAAAGATCCAAATCACAGTATTCTTTTATTGTTAGTTCAAAAAAGAAATAATTGGAACAACATATAAAATATATCATTATATATATATAGTAAACATGGTAATTATGTTGCATATAACAATAAAATCATGCAATCATGCCACATTCGTAATCATATTATTGATACTCACAAACTTATTTCCAATGAAACGCTATTTGCAGACATAGGGTATGTTACAGAATAAAATATACTTTCCATAAGAGAGAGATATTATATTACTATTGTATTATATCATTTAATGAATATTATTTAATTAGAGATTTCATAATGGGGTATATAATTTTAAAAAATACAAATGTTTTTTAAGACCGATAGATATGAATTCTAATTTTGAATACTGGACTTTTCTTTCTCGATATTTATACGTTTTATTTATACGAAATGTGAATAAAAATTTACCTGCAGGCGTGGGAGCCGTAGGCTTAATTGTTGAAGCGCTGACAAGGTTATCTAAATTGACGAGCGCCGAGTTCTCTCCTAAAAAGGATTGTGGTGTCTTCTTTACAGCACCGGTACTAGCAGTAAGATTCTCAGCCATGCTTTCCAGATCAAAAGGATCTCCCGATGTTGTACCACCTATTTCAAAATTATATAATTTCAATGGAAAATTAACGCATCATTGGAGAAGTTTGCATGATTCCATGATTCAAGTACCATTATTAACCGTCTGTGGACTAGCTCCGAGTTTTCCCCTGTTGGTGATCACATCAAATTCGTCTAAATCGCTAAGCGGACTCGTCGCGGCGGCATTACTATTATTTTGAGTGGAAAAATTGTTAAAGCCTAGTCCTGTGCCGTTAAAACCGTTGGTAGTAGTGCTAAAGGTGGTAACCGAAGACACCGGTGGCAAATTGAATCCTATATTCTGAGGCGATTGCGCGGCAAAGCCAATATTCTGTGTCAAGGTTGAATTGTTAAAAGATGGCGACGAGGATGTTATATCATCTTGAGCCGTCTATCATAAAAAAATTTCACAGATCGATGAGTTTTTATGAATCTGTTCGCAAAACTCGTAGATCTCGTCAGAGAACAAATCTGTATCACCTGCACTTTGCTTGCCTCCGATTCAGTAGTAGCAGCAGCGAATACTGGTGACCAAGGGTCGCTTATACGAGGAGGAGACACGACCGTAGCAGGAGACGGAGCAGGTGCACGCCATGGATCGATAGTGGCCGCTGTAATTAAAAATGGTAATTTGATTATACTCGATTATTCACAAAGTTATTAATCAGATATCGTATAGAAATCAAAGAGTAAATATATTTTTAATAAAGATTCAAATACAACTTTACTAAATCGTGAAAAACAGTGAAAAAAAGTAACTTAATTTATACCTAACCTGAAGATCCTGAGATCATTATCCAAAATCATTAAAGATGTAAGAACATGCAAAAAGAATACAAATACGGGAATTAAGTAAAAATTTAATCATATCTAGAATATACCTCGCCGGGATAATGAAACTTACTTGGTCGTTGTGGAGGAACGGGCGTCCACGGGTCTACCGTAGGTGACGTGGTACTCGTTGTTGGAACACTCCACGGATCGTTCTGCGGCTGTATAAAACAAGAATATTATTCAATTATTCTACAAAGATATCATTCCATCATCTGTACGTTGCTTTAAATGTGCTAATGTCCTTTAACATTCATCAAGGACATACCTTACGCTCATAAAACTCAGATAAATCCAAAGACTGTGGTGCATCATGCAAAAACGATCTCGTGTTATCATGCGAAGTACGATCGTTTAATTTTAAGATTGGCTGGAATAATTAATAGGTACCTGTGGTCTAGGTGGTGTCACCGGGATACCCCAAGGATCAGTTTGTACTGAAGAGCCGCTCGCTTCTCCTAGATTTACATCGAGTAAATCAAGCATATGACTTTGTTTTTCAGTTTGCGGAGTTCTGAAATTCATACACATAGCATTGATACGTAAATGCAAAATCGACCATTCCTTAGCATCGAATTACTAGATTGCACTGGAAATCCTGACTTATGTGATTACTCACTTAAAATCTTGCTGACTCTGACTGAGCGCTAACTGCAATCTAACATCGTCACTGCGTCTTCTTTGCTCCTCTTGTTCCGCTTCTTCTCTAGACATAGCCAAGGCCAGCTGTAGTTGTAACTCTTCTTCGCCTACTGTTTGCGGTCGTGCGGCTTCCATTTCCGCTGAAGAATAAATTTATTTTATTAATTTTTATATAAAGTAAATAATATTTCCGTTTATCTCACGTATAAAAAGGTATGTGGACATACACCAAGATCTGTAAGATATGATAAAAAAAAACTAGGTCAGATATATATGAATTCTCGTCGTAATAATCTTAATTTTGAAGATATAATAAAAGTAATAATATTCATATAGAGTAAAAAAAAATTTACTTGCACGTCTGGTCGATAATTCGGATAAGTGACAAGGCTCCCAATCTTGAAACTGGAAAACAAAATAATGCATGAATTATAGATTAAAATTTTGGATAGTTAATCAATAACATTCTCATGAATGAATGAAAGCAATATATTGCTTACATCACTGCTAACAGGTGACATGGTGTCTAAACCATCACTTCCAAAGCCACTAACTGATTGTGCAAACCTCTCTTTTGCTTTCAATGCTCTAGCTCGCTCATTTCTCAATCTCTCGTCATCTTTTAATAAGGCCACTAATTGTTTTGCTTTTTCCCTCACGTTAATTCCTTGATCTTTATGCCCATCCATGTATTGAAAATCTATGAAATAGCGATTGCACTATGTTAGAAAAGTGTACTTCTGAAGCAATATTAGTATTCCTGATTATTTAGTCTATGTTTTAATCTATCAATTTACAAATTTTTAATGCTTCAATAATATATCAAATATGTGGAAACATATAATTTCATATATTATAAAATAAGATTCCAGCATTTGTTACCTTTTAAGGTTTGGATGGCAAAAATATTCTCTTTGCACTGCTGCGCTACCTTTTCACTTCCCGTCTTAATAAGATATTCTAAGAGAACTAGAGCTTTATATACGTGTCGCCAGTTTTTCCCATGATCATTTAATCTTTTCCATAGCATTTGCATAATTTCCGTAAATGCTACAACATTGTATGTTAAGTCGGCAATTTCTGCCATAAGTGTACTACTTGGACCCCAAGGATCATTGCTGGTAGCTTTTCGTACAGCTTTCTATAGAAAAGAATAGTTATTATTGATCAAATTTTTTGTGATACCCTAAATTTTCATATATTCAGATTCAACTATTTTTTTTCTTAATTTTATAGTTTGTCTTGAAAGTTTCGTTATCTTTTTTACATATTAATAATAAAGAATACCGAGTAATATAAACAGAAATTTATTAATTACCTGAGCGTTGCTGTAATTATGGGCAAGATTCATAATATCTCGCCTAATACCTGCTAGATTCACCTGCATAACGTCTTGACCTTGTCTTCTCATCTAAAATATTATCGCTATATGTTACTCAATTGTAGTATTATGTATCTCACTTTTAGAAACTTCCCCATATTTATTATCACATTCAAATGCGAAAAGTATAACACCATATATTAGACATTTAATGTATAAATAAATTTTTTATGGAATTTATGTAATATAGAGATCGTCTCATAGTTTCTCTAGATCTATTTTAACTAATTTCTAATATAAATATAATTTTTATATAACAATAGTACATACAAATCAGTTACAATTTACGATGCAAGTAACATCTGATAATAAATATGGGTATTTATACAAAACAGTTTATACAAAAGCCATGCAACTAAGTATATGTGTTATTTCGTATACTACAAAACTAGTAATATATAAAACCAAATTTTTCATTAAGATACATTTGGACATATAATTAATTAACAGCAGAAAGTATTTGGAGTTTAAAACCAAGCATGCAAATTAAATTATTTGTTACAAAACAAAAAAATAGAAAAAAATATATAATTTGTAGAAAGATTATTATCGTATATATCATTCATCTTTCTACAAATTAAATATGAATCATGATATAATTGCAAATAACTTGATAGCTATCATATATATTATAATTTCTATAATAAATGTTACTTTATTAATACAAAATAATTATACATCGAATTAAATATATAATTACAAAAAGAGGGATACTTGAATAAAATGATTCCATACCATTAAACAAAGAAAGAAAAAAAAAATACAATATACACACAAAGCATTTTCAATTGTAAATCATATTTTACTTTAAAAAACCGCACTTTTCAACATACACTTTGCTTCATAAATTTTCCATAATATGTATTTTAAAATGTATGCTTACGTACTTGGTATAAAAATATAAAAAAAGTTGTCGGGGATATTTTGAGATCAAAGAAAATTCATCTATTTTATTTCTTTGAATCTATGTTATTTCGTAAGAAAATTTTCTGAGATGTGCCTATATATAATTTATAATTGTCGTCATTTAACTCTTGTCTTTCATATAAGTGTCATTTACAGGGCTATATGGGGTACAGTGGCAATATGTAAAATCAAAATCGAGTCCAAATAGTTATATAACAATACTTAATGCAATACTGACTTGCATAATATACATTTGTCATTATCAGTTTCACTACCCATCATCATTATGATATTATTCAGCTGTAATTGCTGTAAACCGATATAGGTGCGTCATATACATATAACAAAAAGATTGATAAATTAAAATAATTTGAATATAGGTCACATAACACATAACAATAATTTTTCTGATAAAAAATAATAAATTATTTTCACAGAGATTGACAGATATTATTTACTGAAACACAGAGATCTTCTCTAATAATATGCTTTAACATCGAGTTTCACATTGTTAAGTAAGTGCATTTAATTCATCAATTGTGAACACTAAATTTACCTTCTGCATTGCCATTCTTGACTAATGAAATATCGCTGGTGTTGTTGATGAAGGCTTGCCCAGAAATATAGAAAACTTCCAAATACTCCGAATCACAACAAAAGCCTGGACTATCAGATGACACGATAAATAATCGAAAATTTGATGTACATTTACCATATTTTAATGCATGACACATCATTTTTGTATATGGATGATAATGACACATTTAATTTATTAAATACTAGTATTATGCAAATGAATATTACATGAAATTTTATAATAGCGAGAGCCAATAAATTTTTAATAAACAAATTTTAAAATTATGGATGTGCAAAAAAAAAATAATAGTGATATATATACAGGGTATCCATAAAAGTCGGGACCAAATTTGTACAATGCACTAATGAGGTTGAGTAAATAAAAAAGTTTATATAAAGCTATGTCCCCGAAAATGCTTTATTAAAGAGTTATAAGTTTTCAAAAATAAGAACGCAAAATTGTTATAATTTTATTAGAATCTTAAACTATATTAGACAGAATCGGTGACTCGGAAATATTAATAGTATTGAATATTATAATAGATAACTCGCAGTTATTGTTTACATGTCTTGACATATACGGTCTCTAGATTTTTATCACACATCTTTGCTTCTGTTAGACTTTAATTTGTTTAATGTCATAATTCTGATTGCCTTTTATTTCCTTCGTCTGATATTTAAATCGTTGTGATTTCATGCTTGCGATTACAATGAACAACCACACTTTTTTTTTTTAATTATGCGATATGCATGTGTCAGCGATTCCGTCTAACAAATTATAAGAATAATTTTACTCGCTTATTTTTGAACGCTTATAACTCTTTAATAAAGCTCTTTCAAACATAAGTTTATATAAATTTTTTTTTCACCTACTCGACTCCTCCCTTCATTAACACATTGTATAAATTTGGTCCTGACCTTTACGGATACCCTGTATTTAATATATTTGCAAATCGCTAGCATGAGAGTAGTGGTTATAGTTATAACAATTACAGCAGCTGTCAAAGAAAAAAAAAAAAGAAATTTGTATTCTGTTTCTAAAATAGGCACAACTCGTACGTTTTCTAAAGATTTTTTCTTATACGTCATATTATTAATTGGTATATATAATACCTTATTTTAATAATATAGTTTACACATTTTTTTACTAAGAAAAAATAAATATATATAATTACACCCTCATACATACATATACATACACATACATAGCTAAATATTGATTTACAACATATACATTGGCTCCTATGGCCTTTACAAAATGTCACTATCTATGAAATGTATTATTTTACAAGATTAAGAATATTCTGCAAAAAAGTAGTTTTATAGTAATTAAATACTATGGTAATATTATAAACCAAAAATCTTCTGTGCCTTTAATTTTTTTCGAAAACGAGTGCAGTTATCTTTTTTTATTATATCTATTATTTCTTTGTAATATAGAGTTAAATTAATTTATTAAATTAAAGTTAAATTAATGTATCAATATGCTAGGTAACAAACAAAATCGACTATATATGTATATAGAAAAAATTATGACATTGTATTTAACTTGAAAATCTGAAATGTTATTAGATTTCATGCTTATTATGTCGCTATTATTTACAAATAACGTTATTGACAAGCAAAGCATTAAATTGGAAAGAGAGAGAGAGTGAGAGAATATAGCCTTTTAAAAAATTTTTCGGAGGGAAAAATAAAACCTATGCTATCAAGCCCTACTTGCGGATGATATAATACATGCAAAAAGTTTTACGAAAAAAAATTACTTACTTTGATGGAGGTAAAGATGTACACCTTCCTTTAACAAATTGTACTGCTCTTCTGGAAAAAAAAGAGATCTTTATTATTTATAACATGCTTGTATTATTGTGTTTGCTTATCTTATCGTAACAGTTTGGCATAGGTAGTATTTTATTCTTCATCGGAGCAATGCGTTATCTCAATGTATATGAAATTATTAATATGAAAAACTGATGAGAGAATTTTTCATGATGTCTAATGATCAAATCAGCAGCAACTTGAGATTCTATTGTAATCTTTAGGATATTTGAGAATGAGTTTGACTTCTTAAAAATGATAATAAAAGATTGTTAATAATACTTATCATTTATCATGTTTATATGTAAATGATATCGATATTTGTTATTTAAATATACTTTAAATCTATAATGGCAGGATACATATGCTTGCTTTCAAAACAGCAATAATTTCTACTTCATAAACTGAGCATGACTATGCAAATATCACTGCTAAGAAATGTTTACGGAAAGTGAAGAGCAAAAAGATTGCCAATAAAAAAAAGTAGAAGTGTTGTATTAAACTATATAATAAGAAAGTGAAATTCTTTATAAGGTTTCCTTCTATCATGTTAACAGTATTATACATTGACCATGAAAGTATTGATCATTGTCCTCTGTACCCTTTGCTATCATCTGGTTAATTTTTATTTAAAATATGTACTAGCTCGCGTATTAATGTTGTAATATTTTTATTACAATTGTATTACGATTACTATTCCAAAAATATTACAAATAAAGGGATTATATATTCAAGTATGTTTTTAAAAAATGAAATAGAATCAGAGTACTTGTTCGTTATTAAAATTCACAGTCAAATAGAAAACTTTAATTCAACTCGTACACAATTTAAAAACGTAAGTAAACGATGTCCAGGATCATATGAAACAATGACACATAGATGAGTAGAGACAATGATGGAATAGCAGGAAATATACATACACACACACACACACACATATATATATATATATACGAGAGCAGGAAATTATTGCTATTGTACAATTACTATTAAATATATTTAAAGAGATTCTCGCGGGGGTCGCGTCGCGAATTCTTGTTACCGTAGATTCACGCCAAAACGAAATCGCGGGTTGAACGTTCTCCACGTCAACTGTCGGATTTTGGCTCGCATACGCTGTCGAGGCGAAGTGAACGTCAGCGGGGGAGAGTAACACGCTGGCTGGCGAGAAACGCACGAATGTATTCCCCGTTGTTTAAAGAGCAACCTCGCGTCGCGACGCGCGCTCATTCACTCGGCCAGCCGTGACTTACCCGAGAGAGCGAGTTGGAGCGAGTCGAGCGTGGCGCACGTATGTACGTACGTAACATACACACCTATCATCGATCCTCGGAGGGATCCTCGCCGCGAGTTAGACACCCAAGTAGATATACATGATACACTACGTCAATTTCGCCAAGTATCGCACGTATCCTCCTCTCTCTGCTCCGATTTCGCGAGCCGTGACTCGCGGGGGTGACGGGCGCGGTCGTAAACGCGGGCGTATAACGTCGACGAGGAACGCTCGTGGAGCTGTTCTCCTTGCTCGTCTTGCGAGTCTCCCCGCCGGAGAATAAATAACGGTAGCGGCGAAACGTCACGCGTGAGATTCCTCGTGTGTTGGCGATCCCGTTGCGTCCGCGGTGTCTCGTCTCGCCTTCGAGTCGCGACTCGGTCGAGCGACGACGATGACGATGAGGACGACGAAGAGGACGACGAAGAGGACGACGAAGACGACGATATTTTTGTACTCACCTTACGTGCGTGTTGGTATCACTCGGAAATTTTGAGATGCGGAACTTTCGGACCGATCGGGGAGAGACGAAATAATATAAGACACTTATGACAAGTCCATTCACAGGCACTGACGAATTACTATGGTTGCAAGATGGCGCAAGATGGCGCTCGAAAATATTTCCTGCTACGTTCGCCGCGCCGAGCATCGCGCACGAGCGTTGCGTCGCGTTCATAAGCGATATTCCGTGTTCCTAATCATTGTAAATGCGATTACGTGAAGAGATATAGATATGTATAAAACAATCTCGTCTTTTAACTGTAATAATCTCTTTTTGTCACAGGTATACACACGATCTTTTCGCGAGACAATTAGCATCTTAAATAAAACTTTTTTTTCTTAGCAATATTTTTAAAAAATGCGCATATATTTTGAGATTTCATAATTTTTATCATTAATTAAAACTTGCTAATTATAATTAATCATCATAAACACTTTTATAGAGAAAATACATAAATTTTAATAAGTATCTTTTTATCTAAAAATGAAGGAATCGTACATTTTAATTATTTCTTTTTATTTGTTGTTACATTCATAGTCGACTAGATTGATTTTACAGATATCCTATTTATAGTGCAATTTAATTTTAACGATTTGTTTTTAAACTATGACAAAGAGTAATCGTTATAAATCTTATAAATCTCTTTAATTAGATGCTGCGCACACAACACATAATGTACATATACAGTATATGTGGTCATAGCACAGTTTTTAGTTAAGGCACAATAAACCAAAATGCAATCCTGAGAGCATTATATTTTATCTCTGTAGAGAAGTTTAACTTATTAAACATTTTATATAGAGACACAAATATAGTAAGACATGAGAGAAAGTATTCAAATATTTATACTCAGATTAAATGTGCATCAATATTTGAATACTTTTAGAAACCACGCATTTGATATTAAAATATTATAGTTAATTTATTATTATCGTCTGATTAATAATAAATTTAAATAGTAACTATATTATTATTAATAATAGTGATAAGTTCTTATGGAATGAAAAAAACATAACATAATTATATATTACTGAAAATATGTACATAACACTTTTTACAGTAACACAAGTAATTTCTGGAAATGCGCGTAATATATTCTATTTTTATATATATATATATCTATTTTCGAAACATTTAGAGATTATAAAAATAATAAATATTAATTTTAAAGTAACAGCATCAATGATCTTGTTCATGCAATGCAACAGTTTGAAGAAGCTTTTGTATATTTATAAATTTTTTAAGGACATTAATTTTTTTATCAGATTATATTAAAGTTATTCTTGTATCTGTGTGCATCAAAATTAAGCAAATAAAATGCTGCCGGAAAAGAAAAACCAATTTTATAGTTGTATTGCATGAGAGAAACTATTTACACAAATATATTTAATATAATTTCAATTTCTATATCTTTATATTTTCAAGATTCTAGATTTGAAGTAAATATTTTATAATTATATCAACACACGAATGTGCATAAATGTGAATAAATGTGCATCTACAAATGCATCAAAATGCATTTTTTTTTTAATGTAAGAGTATTTTACAAAAAGTTTATTGTTTCGCAAATGGAATATTTTAATATAAATATTTTGTTTTAGTATTGTACAGTCATTTGTATAATATTTCTGTTTACTTTGCAGTGTCTCATAATAGGATTCATAACTCAATTAAATATTAACAATAATTATGGACAATTGATTGTCAATTAAGCTTCAAAAATCTTTAACTGGGCTTGTTGTATTTTAAATTTATAACTTGTATATATAGTTCCAAGAATATATAATGCAGTTACACAAATATCCAATTATGTTCTACATTATATAACAATACTGAAACTCGGTTAAACAATTTTAAAAAATAACCATCTTTTAAATAAATAAGATATTTTTGATTTGTTGATTGCTTTACCGTATTCATCCGTATTTTCGTTTATGACAATTAAACGAAAATAAATATTGTTAAATGGAAAAGAATCGCTCGTCTTAAAACAACGTAAGATAGCCAATAATTTATCCATATTGATAAAGTTATGCTCGTTTCGTTAGTAGAGGAATCATTCCTAATGATATTCCGTAGTTGGAGTCACATTGATCATGTCGGTGGTACTAAAAAACAGAAATATATATATATGATAAATGCAAAGAAAAACTTTTACGCTATTGTGTGTGTTCTTGATGATAAAATAACCAGTAATTATTAAAGCACAGAAGAAATTAAAATGTTTATAAATGTAGCAATACACACACATGTAAATTAGGAAAATATATATATGTTGTACAAATTTAAGTAGTTTTTTTTTTTCAGAACATGCTACATGCTTTTTACTATTTATTCATCTTTCTTGATGGAAATTATTTATATCATAGTTTTATGATACACAGACAGGCATTGTGTTTTTATTCCTTAATCTATATTTTTAATATATAAATTATATCTTTAATATATAATACATGTAAGAAGCAAAAACAAAACAAACATCACAAAATCGCACATTTCAATAAGCAGTTTATTTTACTTTGCGCCTATTAACTTCACATATATCTTCTAAAAAAAAAATAGCTTCTATAGATATACATCTTTACTTTCAGACAATTATACATATAATGATTATGTGAAATTTTCTGTCCCTTTAATTATCACATAATTATATAATTAATAAAACGATAAAATCAGGATCGTTGTATATTAAAGTTGTTCTATTCTATTCTATTCTATTAAAGAAAAAATTACATATGAGAGCATTTTAAATATGAATATCTTATTCTTCTGCAGAAAAATATGCAGAATGTATGCAGATGTATGTAGAAAAACACATATACATCCTGGCAAAGCACACAATACACATAAATATGACTAGCCGAGCTAATTATTAGTGTGATTCTTTTATTTGTTATGATTATATTATTAAAATACATATCTCTTAGTACATATTCTCAGTACTGAAATAATAAATTATGACAAAACCTTGCTCGATTGGTCATATTTCATCATATACAAGACAATATTTTACATATCAATTACAGAGGGTAGACATAACACAATATCACAAACACTTACAAGAACATACACGGTGCCCTAAGTATACTTTCTTGTAGTCGTCTTTACATTAGTTTGCTGTATAACATATATCAGATTATATTATCAAATCATGTAAAAAAAAAAATATTGAATATATCTCTTAAAAATATTGAAATATCTCTTTCAATTTAATTTAAAAGACAGCTTATCAAAATGATAAAAATGAATATTAAATCACAAGATAATATATCGCTTAAGATTGATACACGTTTACGCATTTTCACAGTTACACAAAGTACATTTGTGAACATTAAAGATATTAACACATATTTTGCTTTTATATACTTTATATTTGAATAATCAATTGTTCCTTCACCTTCGTGTCAAAGAAATGTTATATTAAAGAGAATATTTTTATATACTTATTGTTTATACATATGGACAAGAGTGAAAGGCATTATATGGTATATAAATATGATTGTTACCTCTTCGAACATTTAATATGTATAATGAGCAATACTATGCCCAACACTAAGCACAAACTTCCCACAACAATGTAAGCAATGCCAAGGAAAGGATTCTTTCCTCCCAAAAGTGAAGTTGTGCTTAAAATCATCTTTTTCTTCCCATGGAAAGCAGATACTGAAAATGCTGAAAAAATTTGTTCAAATATATTATCTAATTTCTACAAGCTAATATCAAGAAAAAAAAAGAACATTACATGAAAAAGGCATTTATCAAGTTTCAATTCTTTAACTTGTAATTATTGATCATATTTAAATTTGCTTAAATTATACTTACAGTATTTGACAGTAAGAGTGTAATTTCCTGCAAGTAGACCACCGATGAATCCATCTTTAGTATGATCAACTCTACGGTAGAGTTTTCTGAAAGTGGGTAATGCAGCAGTTCTCATCCATACAATTAAATCCTCATTTTGGAACCCATTATTATCTTTATCTTGTTCATCCAACTCGTAAATATGTTTAGTCCAGTTCTTAGGTTTTCTAAAGTTCCTAAATGCTTCTGTCAGATTTCCCTCAGGATTTCTAAATTTGATATTTTTATCAGATGGCCAAGCTATACCAGTTTTTAATAATGGCACAGATTTATTGTGCTTTGCAGAAAATAGCATGAGTTCATCGCTAAAAAGTGAATTTGCGATGGCTCCACATGGAGCAATAGGAATTTTAGTATCGTTTACTTCTTCATAGGCAAATGGTTCACAGTCACTCGAGACGATATCGCTCAATTTTCCTAACAATTGATTGTCGTCTCGAGATTTTACATATCTACGATGATTCTGGTAAAAGTTTGTCAGGCCATAATACATGTAAACTTTGCCAACAAAGTCTACAGGTAGTGTGAAATTTATTTCGCACCAACAGTTACGGTTGGGGTTTGCTGCAATTACATCTGCACATTTCATAGGCTGTCTATTGTCTCCAATAATATTGGTGGAGTTACAATTAGTGTAATCTATAGTCTGTTCCTTGACTTCGTCAGAAAAATAAAGTAATCCTATACCCACTGGAATAAATGCGACTCCTATTACAAAAAACGTCGGTAGGACTGTGCCAGCCGTAAGTATTGGTTGCCAGGCTGGTAATCGTTGCTGTTTGAATGCGCTATCTGTATGCAATCAAGTTGATTCATATATACATATATCTATATTGTATATATGTGTACAATATATGAATATTTTATATAAAATAATTAAAACGATATAATTTGCAATATATATTGCTTAAACAATTATATGAATACATAAAATTATACTGAAATTTATCAGTATATCATTAAAATCAATTATTAAATAAAATACTAGCGTACATGTATAATACGGTAAAAAAATGGACGAAATTCGTGCAAAAGCTTAATCGATAATTGTGAAATCAAGATTTTTAAATCTTTGACAATCATCTTTGATGATTATTGAAATATTTACCAGATGGTTTCTTCGATTTAGGCACCGCATCGACTTCGCTGATGGATGTCATGATTTATCGATGGCAAGACAATTAATATTTGACAAGCCTCAATAACCTAGTGTTACGTCTAACTGTTATCAACTGCATTTGTAAAATGTACGAAATGACACATACATACGATATACGATACGTCAGTTGCTACGAACCTTTGACTATATAAATTTATATAGTCAAAGCTACGAACTATGAAATCTGGACTGCGTTCCGATATTTACTGCTAGTACTGAAAATCTATAATATAGTGTACGTGACGTAAACTATAGATTTTCAGTACTGCAGTGAATATCGGAACGTAGCCCTGCGACCTGCGAGACCCATCTGTTAAAGACCATTTTCATAGGTTGGACGAATAACAGCTGTGCATGTGAATTATGTGGTTGTAAGTACAAATCCGCCTTTAGATTATTATACGTCTATTTATGTGACGCTTTTTATATATAATATCACACGATTATCATCTACTTTAGCTGATTTAATCTGGATTGTCAAATTTATATCGTTATTCGTGTTTTATCATGTAATTATTGCATTCTGAATAAATGTATTAACAATATTGACAATTCTGAGCAATGCAATTATTTTGATCTTCTGTCATGGTTATCGTATTGGAATGATATATTTTTTGTATGCTAAGAATTAGAATATGTTTTATTAATTTTCTAAATATTTTTAAATATTAATCGACTTGATTTATCGATTGGAATTTTCTGTGACGTCATGCGTTAACAATCTGCCTCCGTCTACCAATAAAATCGTGTTTACAAAATTGAAGGTCTATCGTCTATCGTCTATTCGAATAACATATATATGTCATTGGAGTATGACCTCATACATTTTGTATTTACATATGTTGATTAGTTATTATATCGCGTTTTATATTGCGTTTTTAAACATTATTAACTGACAACGGATATTTACTTTGCCAATCACTAGAAGACAACCAGACCAGACAAATAATACCAGAAAAGTCAGAATAATATGCTGTAATCTTGTGGGTGCTTTATCTTCACAAATTTATTAATACCTGATATATATTAAAAATGATGAAACAAAAATTACCAACCAATTGGATTACCGTCAGTTCTAAAAGTCATCCGGACAGAGTTTATTATTTCAATGTGAAAACAAATCAATCTTCGTGGACTGAGCCAGTATTGGATGAAACTAATGAGGTACTTTAGTTTCTGTTATTATCTGCAACTTATCTCTGATATAAAATATATTAAATTTCTGATTTATGTATTGTTATTTCAACATTTGTTGTATGTAAACATTTCAGACAAATAAAAAAAAGCGTAAAAATCGTCGTAAAAAGAGAGGATCTCAGACAACAATAACACCCGAACACAATCTTGTGGATGATGAGACAGTTAGCAAACAACAAACAAGTGATAAAACTGTAGAGACACCACAAATGAAAGCAATTCGAGAAAAAATGCTGCAAAAGTTAACTGCCAAAAATAAATCTTCTCTTTCATCAACTCTTTCAAAAACTTCAGCAAAGTTAACAGAAAATGAAACAGTTTCTTCTTTAAAAAAAACATCAAGTTTGGTAAAGAATGATGAATCAATGAAATCTCTGGATAAAAATGATAACAAAATAACAACATTCACACCACAAATGTCTGTTCTTTATGAAAAAATTCAGCAGCAAAATTTAAATAAATCTAATCCAGATAAAAAATTAAAGATGAACATTAAGAGTAAACAGCAAGACTTGAACATTACGAGCCAGGTATCAATGAAAGTACAAGAGAATCAAGAAAAGAGCACCAGACACCAAGAAACTGTGAATCGAAATAAGAATAATGTTGAGCAATGTTCAAATAATAAAACACAGAATGCACAAAAATCACACAACCAAAATATTTCAAGTAATTAATGCAATTATACATAATAATATACTTAATATTTTTGAATATTACATTTTATTATTTAAATCTTAAAATCAATTTCATGTTTAGGGAAAAAACGTTCACAAAAAAAAAATATTGCAAAGGAAAGGATGCGCGTATTAAGAAAAAGTTTGAGTTCTGATAAAGAGAAATTAAAAGAAATTGGACGTGCCATAATCAATGAAAAGGAGGCTCCACAAAAACTCGGCAAAAGATTATCTTATAGTAAGTAAACAATTTTATGGTTTTATTTATATTTTTAATATTTGAAAACGTTTTCTATGCTCTTTTTAACAATATTTTTGAATTGTTTTGTTTTTACAGACGATCACAGTTTAGGATCGACATGTGTTTATAAAAATGTTGAAGTTCGACTTACAAGATTACATAACAAAATTCTAAAGGATGCAAAGTATAAAGATAGTGTTACATTAAATAACGATAAATCACAGATTCGACAAAGTAACGAACCAGTTGTCGATAATATGACAAAAGAAAAATTAACAGAACAAGCTAAACAAGAAATTCTGTATGAAGAAATGGATTGGGAACCAATAAATGATGATGACATTACATTGGAGGTATTATCAGTGTAATTGAAACATTAATTAATTTGTGTATCACGAACAGAATTTATGTAAACATAGATATATCTGATTATTATAATTGTGTACCTATCTCAGATATTTTTATATTTTTAACTACCTATCTTTTCAAATTTACATAAATTAGTAATTTTTGTATTTTATGTATATAAGTATTGAATAGAATATAGTATACATTTTTATTTCACAATATATTTTTTTATATAGGTCGAAGTTGTTAGAACACAATTAGGCAAAAAAGATCATGTGGATAAGATAAATTATATATCGGGGAATACTGTAGAATTAATACAGCATAACAGAACAGAGCCACAGGAAAAGAGTCCACTGTATATTGTTGTGGATACAAATGTATTTCTATCAAATCTAAAAATTATTGAAGAAGCAAGAGATGCAACATTTAAAAATTATCCACGTCCTTTCATTGTAATTCCATGGACTGTGATACATGTAAGTATAAAATATTGACATAATGAATATCTATTTTTTCCTCTCTTTTTCTCTGACACATTTATGAAAGTTTTAATGCTACATTTTCATATTTTGTAATAGGAACTAGATTATATAAAGAATAATAAGTCTACACATGAGATATGTGTAAAAGCTAGGAAAGCTATATCCTTCATTCATGAACAATTTTCTTCTAAACATCCACGTATCATAGGCCAAACACGAGAACAGGCAGCAAAAAATAAAGAAGACTTTTCTCTTACTTGCCCAGATGATGAGATCCTGCAATGTTGCTTACAAATTTGTCAATTACAAAAGTCTGTGGTAAGATGTCATTCTATCATATCGTACAATATACAAGTATAATTTATTAAGGAATATACCATATTCATTCTTATTTTTTGCAAATAGGTTTTATTGTCATACGACAAAAATCTCTGTAATAAAGCGATGGTATATAATATATTGGCATTGGGACGAAACGATCCTCTTGAGAAAATAGATTATTATGATATGAATGACAGAGTAGTTAATCATTTAAATAATGGTCCCATCGAAGAGTCTGTCTTTAATAATGAATTACATTTCACGGATGAGATTTTTGAAAATACAAAAGCGACTATGAAAAACTTTCTATCAACAGTATGTATTTTATATTAGATTTTGAGTCCACAAGCTTTCATGAGCTGATTATAAAACGTATTTTGTTTTTACAGATTATTATCAAACAAATGTCAGAAATTTATGGAGAAACGGAGTGGCAGTTATATGTCATTATAAAACCACCTTGGACTATAGTAACTGCATTAAAGTGTGCTATAAAGCACTGGATTGCCGCGATAAATGAATCATTTCAAAGATGTGCTGAATACATTTTGAAAGAATTACTTCAAGGTTTTGAATATTTACCAGGCATGTAACTTATAATCTATAGTATAATGAAAAATATATTACATTCTAAGATGCAAGTTTAATCTTGATGTTATTTCTAGTTGGTGGTAGGAAACTAGAAGATGTGGAACACATTTTAGAAAAGTGCAGCGATCTAGTACAAACAGTCAATGCAGATAAACACTATGAACTTATGACACAAACATTTGAGGCGATTATGGTAATGCTTAGTATATTTGCATACATTTTTGTAATACACTTTATATTTATGACAGAATTAACAAATTTTGAAAATTGATATTTTTAGGAACTCAAGAAGGAATGTCGTAACTATATCATTAATATACAACAAAAAAGATTACACGACAAGATAGGCATTGCAGAAGATATCAAAGAGCAAGAAATGAGAGCAGGAAAAGTATTCCAATGCTTTCAGCATATATACAATTATGCACGTGACATATGGTGAGACTTTGTTTTATAGTACATACTATACATGTGTTTTTGCGAAAAGTGTATTTCTAGTATCGTATTTAATATGCCAATATGATATTCTATTGTTACTTATTGTTTCTTGTACTTTTCATAACAGTGGTACGGCATGTAGCAATGCAGGAATGGCGCACTCTTTTAACTTTGAGCCTTCATCATTGTTACCTGCAACTATAGAATATTTGCGACCAGAACTTACAAGAAAGGTGGCCGATTTGACACAGAATCTCAGCAAGTAAGTTATTTTTTAACAGTCGATCTCTATTGGCTACTGATCTCTATTGGATTACTGATGGCATATATTTTTTTAATATTAGATATTTTTTATGTATTATATATTCATACGTTTGTAATTTTTTTTTTTTTTTTGTAATTAGGTTACTGTTGCAAGCTGAAAATTCCAATATAAAATATCCAACATTAATTAATTTGCAACAAAATTTAAATACATTTTTGCCTGACATAGAGAATAAAACATTTGATGTGACACTTTTGGATGTACATTACTGTATAAAATTAAAAGAAGAGCCATTGAAAACTGGATTAAAGCAACTACAAGAATTAACTACACATTTTTGTGCATTAGCTGTTCATACATAAATGTATGTATATTTTATGATATTTTATGATATAAACCTCTCTGTCCAATGATTTGTAAAGGAGTGAGAGCATACAAATATTTACGAAAACATGTATATATACATTTATTTTAATAAATAATACATTTATATTTTTATTAAATGATATAATGACAATTTAGCATTGTCATAAAAAGTATATGAAAGTACAATATTTTTAGAAAGGTAACCGATATGACACCATTGAAAGATATTGTAACTGCATTTTTGAGTAAGAGCGTTGTGCGACAATCTTTGAATAAAATCATCTGAACTGCGCACATGAAAAGTATCGCTCCAGAAAAAAAACAAAATTGCGAGTATTTCCGTAAAAATTCACATATTCCAATATAATTCCGAATTTGAATACAAATTTCACCATTTTACTCTTTCAGAAAAAAAGCTATTGTACAAGCGAGTCTCCTGAAGAGTTACCATTTTGCAAAAAATATCTTTCATTGGTTCGATACTTTGACACAATGTATAAAATAATATATACAAAAAAAATTATTTGTTTGTTATCGCTTCTAAACTGTATATAGAATGTTATTTTTTTTTTGTCCAATGAGAAACAACAAATTAAAAAATATAGATAGTAAAATTATACCATAATACGACGAACAATAATTTTTTAAATAAGTACAATACATCTAATTTCTATAGAGATTCGCAAAACCTCCAGCAGGTGGTTGAAGCCAATTATCCTTCGAATAAGAAACATGTTTCGTCTCGATCACATGAAATGTATAAGCGTGTCTCGATGTTTCGCTCTTGTTGGGATAAGAAAAGTGTACTACTTGACCATGAATAAGAATACAAGTTCCTTTGCGTACCGGTACAGGCCTGAAATTACTTAATGGATAGCAGGGCGCTGCTCTATCGTATATTAGTAATTCTTGAGAATTTGGATCTTTGTTTCTTATGTAACGTCTGTGCACTCCGCTCTGATGTGACCCCGGGGCGATCCATAGACATCCATTTTCTTGCGTAGCGTCCTCTAATGCAATCCAGAAACCTACGAGTTTCATTGGCTCGGTATATAAATACGATGCATCCTGATGCGTCGTAACTGCAAGAAAATAAGTATCATATAAAGCATTAGACGCCATTATTTCATATGGTATTTTTGCTAAATCACACATACACATAGATATCTATATATATTAAATTATATAGATTATCTTCTATTTTTCGCACGGTTAGACATAGAAAATGCAAGTAATTAATGTAGGTACCTTCCGAGCCTGTTCCGGGATTCTTATAAATGTACATCGACTGACATATTGCCGGTTCTTGATACTCTAATTGAAAAGCGACTTCTTTAACTCTTTCATCGAAAGAATATTTTTTAAAGATAGGATGTAACCAATGAAGTGCATGACCCACCTAAAAAGTATAATGTGATTACAAGATAATTGCTTCAAAATTGCAAAAATTGATTCAGTTAGATATTTTCTTTCAAGTTTACTTTGTTTAACGACACTCTTGGATGAACCTTCAGTTTTCCGTCTTCGTCCAAAGCTTCACTCTCGAAGAAAACACTTATTTTATTAGCGCTATCCAAAAAGTATTTATCTTTATTCTAAAACAAGACAATCACATTATTTTTGTTAATATTATACAAAGTTTTGAGTTTCATCTATAAAGAGTCTCATGAAATCAGCGGAAAGTGGACACATTGCGTTTTATATGATTTATATTCGCTATATATATATATGTATTAAAGTGAGTGCGTGCGTGTGTGTGTATGTGTGTGTATATATATCTGTTTCTTTTCCTAACAAAAATCGTCTTTCTCTCTCTGCAATTATAAAGAATAATATTATTTGTTCATTTTCCACCGATTTTAATCCTTCGTTGCGCAACTAATTTTACACTTTATTAATTTCATAATTATCTAGTTTCATTAAATACCTGTTGTAACTTTATTGTATTAAATATCTTTCTTTCCGATTCAGGTGGCAACTTATTCGTAAATTCTTCTCCGCAGGATTTTAATTCTTCGATCTCCTCTGGATGAAAAAAATCCTCCAAGATGACATAACCATTTTTCTGAAACTGGTAATTGTATACTCAATATAAAGTAGTTACTTTGGAATTTTCAGATTATGGATCATTTAATAAACTTAAAGATTAAACTTAAGATTACTCTCCTGTATAATCTTTGTATTAGTGATTCGTAGCAATTAATTCTCGTATTATTTATGTCATTTTGTTTCAAATTTAAAATATTTAGTTAGATAATCGATTTAATTAATAGTTTACAAAATAAAATAAGGGATCACTTTTTTTCAATTTCTTACAAATAAGTGCAGAAAAAAGATAAGATGATTAAGAGAATTTTCTTTGATTAGATTTACTTATTCTTTGTATTATATTTACAAATAGAACAATAGATTTATATCAAGAACAAGGTATGAGGTATGTATATGGACGTATACGAAGCAGAAAATATTCGAGAAAATATTTCTCAACTCATTCATCCTTGAAATAATTGGCCGGTAATAGTTGTACTAAGAGATTCGATATATTCCCGTTATATGATCGTTATGTAGTATAATTTGGATGAATCTGGAAATGAGACGAATTATTTATTTATTCGATCTATCACCGGGATAAGATAAAGAGTAGCCGAAGATACCACTTTTTAAGTTCAAAGTTCAAAGAAATTTCATTTCCGGTGCATCGATCAGCTGATCGTCTGATCGCAGTACTTTTGTTGTTTTGAGTAATATGCTATACAACTCTATATAAATAGATCGCGGCCGAGATTAGGACACCTAAAAATAATCACGGGCCATTGCCTGTTTCAAAGGGCAAACGGACTTCTCGAGATGTTTCTGGCTTTTTTCCGTTTACATTTATTCTGCGTCTTATATTAATATGCTGACCATGTGCTATCAGATTACGCCGTACATATATCATCTGTGTCAAGAAAGCGATAAATTGCTTTATTAATGATCTTTAAGATAATCCGTTACAGTCGCGTTAACATATGTTATTAGATACACTCTCCAGATTAGCCCGCGACGAAGGAAAATTAAACCTAATTAGGGAAAGCTTTCTTGACGCCACGCCGTTGGCATTCGGGTTACTTGTGGAAAATGTGTGTGTGCGTGTATGTATGTGTCAGCCGACTAAATATTATATATTATAGATAAAACCTCTGTATTGCTCTTAATTATTTATATCTTAATTACTTTATTTTCTCATTTGGCGCCTGATTAGACCCAGATTTCGAAAATTTATTTTTCTTAATAATCAACTATTATTTATATTCTTTAATTTTCTCATTTGGTGTTGATTTTATATACAGCTTCCGGAAATTAATTTTTCTTGATGATTATTAATTAGTTGTCGTATGAGGGGGATTGTGTGATATATATATATAT